CAGGGGAGTGGTTAGGGGGTGATCAGGCTGGCAGTCAGAAGCAGTTAGGGGTGATCAGGTAGGTGAGCGGTTGGGAGCCAACAGTCCTGGATTGTGAGAGAGATGTCCGACTGCCCGAGATTGGGCCTACCCGGGCAGTCGGACATTCCTCAAGGGGTCCTAATTGGAGAGGGTGCAGGCTGGGCTGAGGGACATCCCCCCCCCCCCCATGCATGAATTTCGTGTACCAGGCCTCTAGTTTTAAATATAATTTTTGATGAGGTTTTTATTTTTATTTAGTCCTTTATTTTACAAGACAGCAGAGTTACATTTATACGTTTTGAGCAAAGAAAAAAAAATACCGTATTTTCCGGCATATAAGATGACCCCCCTAATTTTACAGTTAAAACATAGATTTAGGCCTATATTCACTGTATAAGACTACACCTTACTTCTGAGGCAACACCAGTTCTTTTTTTAATAGACCGCCTCTCTGACTCTGGCCAATCTGAGCAGGCTTTTTTTCGTTTCAAAAGTCATCTTATACGCTGGAAAATACAGTAAGTTTTTGAGAAAGTTATTGTGCCTCTTAGCTCCAGTTACTCATGTATAAAATGGAATGATTTTTTTTTACCTCAAAATTGATTATGTAAGTGTGTAATTAGAAAACATTTAGGACAGTGGTTCCCTTTTGGGCATGGCACCAGCCTGGCATATATTAGAATTTCTATCAATGTTTTTTAAATATCAAGGCAATTAAAGTAAGATGAACAGGCTAGTTTTTTGTGGGGCCTTCTGGTAACCATCATGTATACATTAAAATATCCAGTTGCATACTTCCTTAATTAAAAAAAAAATTTCTATTGATTTCAGAGAGGAAGGGAGAGGGAGAGATAGACACATCAATGATGAGAGAGAATCATTGGTGGGCTGCCTCCTGCAAGCCCCCCACTGGGGGTCAAGCCCACAACCTGGGCATGTGACCTACCAGGAATCGAACTGAGACCTCCTGGTTCATAGGTCGACACTCAACCACTGAGCCACTGTGGCCGGGCTTCCTTAATTTTTTTAATGAATCATATTGAACAGGTAAGGAAGAATGACACATACACATTTTTTTGTTTTAATTGCCAAGGTAAAAGTCATAACTAGTTAGGTTATAAGAGGTTTGATTATATGTGCTCATTTATAAGATAAGCATGGGACATTAACAAGATGGCTCTTTTTATCTCTGTGTTTATATATAATTTTGATAAACAATCCAGAATATTTTTGTCCTACGCATGCTAGTGGGTTAACAAAAATAAATAAATAAATAAATAAATAAATAAATAAATAGGAAAGTAGAATTATATGCTTTTTATATTAATGATTTGATTTTTAAGTTGAAAAACTAAGACACATTAACCATATGTATCAGGTAATAGTGATTCCTGTCTGGAGCATCTCAGAATCCTTCTTTGCAAAGCGGGGGGGGGGGGGGGGGGGGAGGTATTTGCTTTTTTCTAAAAGCTCAAAGGAATGGGTTGCAAGTGAATAAAACCAAAATTATAATAAACCTCACTCTAATAATAAAGAGATAATCTGATGTCAGAAAATAGGTTCTTGCCTGTTCATTCAGAGCAAGTTGCATCTTGTATTGCATGGAAAGAATGCTGATGGAGTTGCCTTTTGCTCTTGGTTTACTCTTTTAGGAAGCACAGAAGTGAATAATGTGTTTAGGCTTCCATGGTCATTTTTGAATAAGCTTGTCTCCTATTTTTGACCTTTATTTATTTATTTGTTCATCATCCATTCATTTACTCATGACTCTTGCCATAACTGAGTGCCTTGAGGACCCTTTACATATCTGAATGACTATTCACAGATCTAAGACCTCATGAGATTGCAGTGAGCATAAAACACAATTAAACAAGTAATAGTATTATTGTGTAACTAGAGGTTTGATGCTCAAAATTTGTGCAAGAGTAGGCCTTTCTTCCCTCCGGCTGCTGGCACCAGCTTCCCTCTGGCACCCAGGACCCTCACAGCCCCAGCTTTTGTCCAGAAAGTCATCGGTCTAATTAGCATATTATAATTTTATTATTATAGATGGGCGCTATAGATGGTCATTGTTAAGGGATTTTCTTGACTCTCTTCTGGAGCTCCAGTTTCTACTGCTGCTGAGGGAGGTAGAGGTAAATCATACTCTGCCTGCTTTTTTTTAAAAATTAAAGTGAAATACGTTTATTGTAGAAATGTTGGGAAATTCAGACAGAATCTAAAACACCCATATTCCCAGTTGAAACATCTCTGAATGTGTTTCTTTCCAGTCTTTAAAAATATTTAATTATAGTTGGTGTACAATATTATATTAATTATATTAGTTTTAGGTGTACAATATAGTGATTCAACATTTTTATCTGTTATCTTGTAATCATGCCACTAATTCTATTATAGTAAATCATCTCTCACTCTGCAAACTTACCACAATATTACTACTGTATTTTCCTTCCCCTTTCCACCCATTCCCCAGCCACTTCCCCTCTGGTAACTACCCCTTTGGTCTGCGTTTCTATGAATCTGTTTTTGTTTTGTTTTACTTGTTATTTGTTTAGTGTTGTTGTTTAAGATTCCACACATAAATGAAGGCATAGGGTGTTATTCTTTCTCTAATCTGACTTATATCACTTAGCTTAATTCCCTCTAGAGCAGTGGTTCTCAACCTTTCTAATGCCAAGACCCTTTAATACAGTTCCTCATGTTGTAGTGACCCCCAACCATAACATTATTTTCGTTGCTACTTCATAACTGTAATTTTGCTACTGTTATGAATTGTGATGTAACTATCTGTGTTTTCCGATGGTCTTAGGCTCTACAGCAGCAGTCGCCAGCAGATCCTTCATTTGAAATGACAATTGTATCTGTCATGAGCTATTATATATATAATTTCCCTTCCAGCTTAGCAACCTACTCCTGGGACTTAATCCAACAGAAATAAAAAACACTGTTTTTTAGGATATATGTTCTTGGATGTTGGCTACAGCATTGTTTGTGAGAGCAAAACACTGGAAATAGAGTAGATACTCATGAATATGGAAATTATTGAATACATTAGCTTCAGCCATACAAAGGAATATTATGTAGCCATTAAATGGAAATAAATGAGAGCTATTCCTAAGAACATGAAGAATTTCCATGAAATATTTATTGAGAGGGAAAAAGAAGAGGAGGAAAAGTATCTTTCATGACCCAATTCTTTATGGTAAAAATTATACCCGTGTGCATTTGTATATATACACATTACCCATATGTGTCTAGTTAAGAATTTAGAGGCCCAAGCTGGCTTGGCTCAGTGGATAAAGCGTCAGCTGTGGACTGAAGAGTCTCAGGTTCAATTCTGGTCATGGACACTTGCCCAGGTGACAGGCTTGATCCCCAGTAAGGGGTGTGCAGAAGGCATCTGATCAATGATTCTCTCTCATCACTGATGTTTTTATCTTTTCCTCATTCCTCCTCTCTCTAAAATCAATAAAAAATACTTTTTAAAAAATAAAAAAAGAATTTAGAATGAGAAAATATGCTATTTGATTTAAGATGATTACAAGGATATAGTGCTTGGTGGGCAGACAGCTGGTAGTAGCTTTGAACATCAATAGGATAAAAAGAAATTGTTGCTTATCTGCCCATGTTTGGTTTTTGGTCCTTGAGTCTAGTGGGTAGACTTGACCTGTGCTGGTTTGATATTATGGAATGAATTGCTCCCAGTCAGTAAATGGAGACTAGAGAGTATTGCAAGCAATACTGTAAGCTTTGAATTTGAAGCAACATAGCCAAATCCTTCCTGACTTGTAGTAATTGTGAAATGGTGCATTTGAGTGATTTGGGTATAAAATGCACTTGAAAGAAAATTCTCTCATGACTGCATTCAGCCGATGCACCTTATTGCACACAGGGAAATGTGTTCAAATGGCATCAGAATGTCCCTGGTGAATAATTACTTTGACTATTCTCTTCTAACTGTTTAGTGAACTGTGTTATTCAAAGGGCTGATGTTGGTTTCCAGTTTATACTTTTGCAAAAATGTTGGCTCCTCTTTACTGAGCATTTAATTTAATTTATTGAAGTGTCATTTTATAACACAAGATTCTTTCTCACTGTAGTCCCCCCTCTTTGTGCAATAAATGCTCAGGAACATTTATTAGTCACCAGTCATGTGCCAGGCACTGTGCTAGGAGCAGGGGATTCAGAGAGCCAAGATAGGAATTCACAGTTAGTAGGCAAGACAGAGATGCAATACAGAGGTTTTTGCAGAGAAATTAAAATTATATGTAGAGGGCTTCCAGGTGTAGGGTGGTAGGATTAGTAAAAGCTCCTCAGAGGAAGTAACTGTTAATTGGGGTATTGCAGGATGCATAGGAGCTCTCAGGCAGCTTGAAGGGGAGTTGGGAGGAGAGGTCATTGCAGCAAAAAGCAGCACAAAGCCCAGGAATGTCTAGAGCCGAGCCAGTCTGAGGAATGATAGCTGTGCCTGGAAGGAAGGTGTGTGGTGGAAGGGGCAAGGGTACATGGAAACTGTGTTTGAGAGGTAGGCCGGGGAAGATCCTGAAGGCCTGGTTGACTCTGTAGAGGAGTTGGCTTGTTCTGTAAAGATGGGCACCCACCTGAGCAGAGGGTTACGGTGAGATGGCCATCGTTTGAGGCTGACTCTGGCAACAGATTAGGTGCCACTGTGGGCAGGGAGCTTAGATCAGAAATAGTGATCCCTTCACTAACCAGAGGACAGACCAATTTCTGTTTGTGTTCTTCATTGACCTTAAGAAAAAAATACACCATCAATAAAAAAGCTTCAGGGCCTTGAACTTGAAAGGATAGTCCAAAGAGATCTATGAGGGCTCATATAATCAGCAGGAATATTAAATATTTGAGTTAGGAGGCTTTGAAATGTCAGCATTTAAAAATATATACACTTTTAGAGACTGTGTATTAGTTTATTGGAATTGGTCCCTTTTCTAGATTTATGATACTGTTTATCTTTGTAGGTGATACTCTCTGGAATCATAGGATTAACAACTTGGAAACGGCCTATGATACTCCTGGTATGTACTGTTCTTATAAATGTTTACCCTTTGTAAAAGGTGCTATTTATGAAGTTTATTAAATAAGCCATTAAATGCTAAAGCTCCTTTGTGTATTATAAAAGAAGTTAATGATGCCCTAGTTTCTGCTTGCACACCAGAGGGTCTCAGGTTTGATTCCCAGTCAAGGGCATGTACCTGGGTTGTAGGTTGATCTCTTGCCCCGGTCTGTCTAGGCATATGCAGGAGACAACCAATCTGTGTGTCTCTCACATCAATATTTCTCTCTCTCTCTCTTTCTCTCTTTCTCTCTCTCTCTCTTTCTCTCTCTTTCTCTCTCTCTCCCCCCCTTCTCCATCCCTTCTCCCATTCCTAAAAAGCAATGGAAAAATATCATCCAGTAAGGATTACCAATAACAAAAAATAAGTTAATGATGGACAATATTAGAACTCAGATATTCTCATAACAGTAACGTATTTTGCCAGCTTTCTGATTGACTTTAATTTTCATATGTATCCAATGCTAAATAAGTGTTTCTTGTTTCAGAATTAGATCTATTGTAAGGATATAATTTAAAAAAAAAACATTTAATATGAAATTTTTAACAGATATAAAAGTGGAAGGAATAATATAATAAACTCTCTGTACCAATAAGCCAGCTTTAATAATTGCATATTAACTTCTAGATAGTCTTGTTCAGCTTTACCCATTCCCCAACCCTCCATATTCTTTTGAAGCAAAACTTAATATTAATCATAAATACATAATTTTTTTATTGTTATAATGTTCTGCTTGGACAATCTCAAAATTTCTTTGCTTAGATTTTCTATATTCTCTCTTTTTCACACAAATATATTTTTATGATAATGCTAGAGGCTCAGTGCACAGAATTCATGCACTGGGAGAGGGGGGTGGTTTCTCAGTCTGGTCTGTACCCTCTTGCAGTCTGGGACCCCTTGGGAGATATCTGCTTGCCAGCTTAAGCCCGATGGGGCAATCAGGCCTAGGACAGCAGTCAGACATCCTTCTCACAGTCCAAGGCTCTCGCAGTCCAGGATCCCTCGCTCCTTACTGCCCACCTGCAGCGGAGGCAGGAGGGTCTCCTGCCACCACCACTGTGCTCACCAGCCATAAGCCTAGCTTCTGGTTGAGCCGTGCTTCCCCTGTGGGAGCACAATGACCACCAGGGGGCAGCTCCTGTATTGAATATCTGCTCTCTGGTGGTCAGTGTGTGTCATAGTGACCGGTCATTCTGCCAGTTGGTTGATTTGCATATTAGGGTTTTATTATAGAGGACTAAAGGCCCAGTGCACAAATTCGTACATGGGTGTGGTCACTTGGCCTGGCCAGCTATCAGGGCTGATTGGGACTGACTGGCGGAGAGGAGGGACTGCAGGAGGTTGGCCAGCCAGGGAGAGGGACTGTGGGAGGTTGGCTGTGGGTATGCACTGACCACCAGGGCAAAAATCCTGCATTGAGCATCTGCCCCCTAGTGGTCAGTGTATGTCATAACTACTGACTGGTCATCTGGTCATAACAGTTGCTTAGGCTTTTATATATATATATATATATATATATATATATATATATATATACACACATATATTGATGAGTTTTAAAATTTTTCATTATTGAGGTAAAATTCACTTAATAGAAAGTTAAAAATTTTAAAGTATATAATTCATTGGCATTTAGTACATTCCCAATGTTTATCCTTTGTTTTTATTTGCTGTGTCCTTCTGATTCAGGAAATACTATAAAAAAACAGACCATTGCTAATGAAGTTGCCAACATTCAAGGATGAAGTACAAGGTCTAGGAAATTCAATTTGAAGTATACTTAAAATTTTTTTTATATAACATTTCATTTTAGAATTTCCTCCCATCCAGTTTAAAATAAGGTTAATTTTCTCATCATTTTACATATATATATATATATATATATATATATATATATATATATATATATATATATATATATATTCATTCCCAGGTGAGAAAAAAAAAGTTTTCAGGCCCATAAGACAATTTAAGTGACATTTTACCAGCCCATCTATTATTGCATTTAGTGAAACTAATGAAACTAATATTTCTGGAAGGAGTAAATTACTAAGGCAGCATTTTAATATGTCATCAGGATAGGCAGAAACAAGGCTTTGGATGAGTTCTGTGGCAGATGTTACCAGTGCCTGAGGCTTGTTTTGCAACAACTCCCTACATTTACAATTTCTGCAGAAGAATTTTGGATGGTGTTCAGTGTTTATAATAATATTTGGTTATAGGAATAATTTTTTCTATGAGGTCAATATTGAAATACTCAGTAATGAGCAGCCCTGGTGGTCCGTGCAACTGGTTGACTGTCGTTTGGTCGCTTAGGCTTATATATATAGATAGGTAGTAAGTTAATTTGGTTAATATCAGTAAATACTGTTTTCACATATGAAGAGTCTACAATACCTATCAATTAAAATTGTTAAGTAGCATTCTGTCATATTTCTGTATTACCATCAGTTAGGAGCCTATTGGTCATGCAGAAATTGCTTTGAAATGATAATCAGCATACATTTATAAAGAAGATAAATTAATTGACAGGAATTTTATCCAGGAAAACTTTCTGAGGATTTTCAACAGATCATCTGAACCTTAGTGAATATCATAAATGGAGAAATCCTCAGTCCACGTGAATCTTAATAGTATATCATATAACCTGTGCCAAATGCTTTTGTTACGTTAAAAGATGAAAGAGTTGTGATAGGATGAAAGAAACTAGACATGCCAGTCACACACGCCTCATTTGAGTCCTAGCTCATCCCCCAAAGGCTGTATAACTGTGCAAATCACTTATTTTTCCAGAGTGTAAGTCTTCTGTTCTGAACAGATGGGATAATCTTGTGACACCAAGGGGTGGCTCTACCACCACCACTACCCTTTGTCGATACTATACTTCTTGTCCATCCCCACCTATCTCTGAGTTTAGAGAATGCACCAATGGATGGTGTTTTGTTTGTTTATTTGTTGTTGTTTTTTTGTGTGTGTGAGAGGTCGGACTCCATGAGAAAAGCCAGGGGGCACCTCGTCTGTGTTCTCATAGACCCAGGCATGGCTGGTCAGAGGTCAGCCCTTCTTCCCTTGGTGTCCCACCCTCTGCCCATGGGAGCACCTTCTGACTCTAACGCAGCCAGACTGCCTTACGTAAGCCTGGGACCTTCTTCCTTGAGCCGTGTGCTGCTGGCTTCTTTTGTTTGGGGCTCAGCTCAGCATCACTTCTGGGAAGAAACCTTCCCTGACCACCCTGTCCCTCACCAGGTCCCAGCCCTGACTGCTGGCCTCACCCGCCTGTCATTAGCCTGTCTGCCTGTGGACTGCTAGTGACCGTGTGTCTCCCCCAGACATAGTCAGCTCCCTGAGGGTGAAGGTGTTGTCTGTCTTCTTCATCCTGTATCCACAGGATCAATGTGCTCCGTACATGGTATTGTTGGCCTTGGAGTTAATTTGGGAGTCAATGAGAAATGTAGGTCCTAAGTGAGTTCTCAGTTTCTCTTTTTCTTTTGTCTTACATTTCTCTCACTTGCTTTTGTTCTCTGGCGCTTCGTATTCCTCCCCTTTTAACTGCAGGGTGGTTAAGGGGAGCACGTTGGTGGTGGAGGTTTGGAGGGGGCTGGCTGGTGTTTTCAGGCCCCTTTGGGAGGCACGCTGTGCTCGGTGTTAGCTGCTGGGTGCACACCAGTCGGGGACACTTGAATCCTTACTTCCTTTTGAGAACCACTTACCTTTGTGCTCCCTCTTTGGTAATTGTTTCCGTGGTTCCTCAGGTTTCATACTCCTTTGAATTAACGAGGGTCAGTTTGACCTAGTTCCTTCAAACTCAAGTGCAGAATTGGTGGCTCTCATTCATTGGGTTCTCTTCCTTATAATGATAAAATACTCAGAACAAAAATAAGAATGTTGGAAAATAGTCTGCAAATGTTGGCAGCTATTTCTTAATATGACTGGGATTGAGCTCGGGTGTGCATACATTTATGCATGCTTAGCGTGTGAATGCATGCAGAGTATTCTAAGTTGTGTATTTTCTTTTTTAAAATATATTTTATTGATTTTGTACAGAGAGGAAGGGAGAGAGATACAGAGTTAGAAACCTCGATGAGAGAGAGTCATCGATCAGCTGCCTCTTGCACATCCCCTACTGGGGATATGCTCGCAACCAAGGTACATGCCCTTGACCGGAATCGAACCCGGGACCCTTCAGTCCCCAAGCCGACGCTCTATCCATTGAGCCAAACCGGTCCCGGCTAGGTTGTGTATTTTCCATCAAGAGCAAACATTTTCCATTTTTTAAAAAGATAAAGTTTAAAATATATATATATATATATATATATATATATATAATTGATTTTTTTTTTATAGAGAGGAAGGGAGAGGAATAGAGAGCCAGAAACATTGATGAGAGAGAAACATCGACCAACTACCTCCTGCACACCCCCCACCGGGGATGTACCCGCAACCAATGTACATGCCCTTGACTGGAATCAAACCTGGGACCTTTCAGTCCGCAGATTGACGCTCTATCGCTGAGCCAAACCGGTTTTGGCACATTTTCCATTTTTAAAAGGATGTGTTTATTTCTTCTAGATATTATTCCCTTTTTATTCTAATAAAATGTTTAGAAATCACAGACTCGGTTCAAGAAAAGACCTCAATGTTTGAATTGTCTAGGCACCTCGGTTAGAAAATGAAATTGTCTTGATAAAATATTTTTCTTTGGTGGCACATTTGGCAAGCATTGCCACTGTGAAAGCCCAGCCAGACATTCTGCCTATGATTTTGGTTGCTTAGGAAGTAGTCATTTGAGCTATTGTTACTTTTTTCTTGTCGTTTGGAACAATGGGAAGAATAGGACTTTTAAGCTGATACAAGGACACCTATATTCTATAGCACCAAGAATGAAGGCTCTTGTCTGGTGATGTTTTTGGGTGGCATATGTGGTTTACTATCAGCTGGGGGCCCTGTTGGTTTGCACTCTG